CCTCACCGAAAATTCCTAACTGGGATTAACTCTAGAACCTTTCTTCGGGGTCAGGCCCCATGTCTCACCACCTTGCTCCCCAGCATCTGCCTGCAGCCACACGGCGAGAAGGGAAGGAGGCACTTACTCCACTTCAGAGAGACAGGGAGAGCTCTGGAGAACAGCGACGATCTCCTCTGCGTGTCGGGAAGACAGGCTGCAGTTCTGCAAGCTGCGAACGGGAAGGGTTAATGAGCACTGAGGGGGCAGTGGGCGCCAGGAATTTCTGGTATCGCTCTCCAAATGAGGGCACACAGAAGCAGCACTAAGAGAGGGAGGTTTTTATTCTCTGCTCTGCCACGAAATACTGGGCGTCTCACTCTGGTGCGGAGAAGGACAGAACCGCAGAGCGCCTGGTGTCAGAGCTGCCCAGCACTGCCACCTCCGAGAAGGGGGTGGATGTAATCCTTGCTGTTGTGCAAGAGTAATGAGGGAAAGTGGAGGTAAGGGAGGGACATGTCCCAGCTTTAACGTACTCAGATAAAATGCCCGAGTTGTTTGAGAAAGGCATTTATCTCTTCGGGAGGCCAGGCAAGAAACCAGCCTACAGGGCTTGTGCCTTTGGCAGCTGTAAGAACATAGGGCAAGGTGGGCATTATCAGGGCAACTCTGCCTCTCTGGGGCTGTCAGAGCCCAGTACTTGAGAAATAAAGCCACTGGCTGGCCCAGATAGGGATATCTACTGTAGTTTTTATTGACTGATTTGGGTTTATTTCAAATTTGTTTGTATGTGGAAATTTCCACTTTCCTTAAGGACCAACACAGCTGCTATTCGTGTCCTTCTGTCATCTGCAAACAGGAATTTCAATGCCTTCACTTACCATAACTTTACAGATCTAGTTGGAGCCACATGTTCCTTACTCTCTTCCCACCTCGAATCCAAAGATCTGCAAAAAGCAAAACACTTGGCCTTCACAAAATACGAAGACCTGGGAGCTGGTTAGTATTTTCTAGAAGAAACCACAAGGTCCGTGTTCTCTCCAAGCACTGCAAGCAAGGTTAAGTGATTTCCAAGAGCCAGAAGACTCCCATCAGGAGATGGGAGCAGAGAGGGCATCCACATGGAATTTTTTTGTATATTTGAACCAGCTTGATAACTGAGCCCCAATTCCAAGGAGCTACTAGGATGCAGGGTTCTGTGCCTTGGCGTGGGATCGTGCCACCACAGGAAAGGACAAACGTACCCAAGCGCCAGAGAAGGAGAAAAGGCTTTTCCTTCATTTATCCTCACATTCAACTGTTTTTCAGCAGTTTTGCAATAGAAACACAGCACTTCGAGCTTATCCAGGCACTAAGGCGGAACTGGCTGGAAGGTCTGTGCACAGGCCAGGTATTTTTCTGACTTTTCTCCTTGATCAGGTGGATCGAGCTCTGCCAGATGCAAGGGCAGAGGCAACAAGTTCTGTCGCTGTTTTACAGCGATACCAAGCTGATGGTTGGAATCAGCGTAATTCTGAATATAACATAATCCTAAGTGCAGTTACTCACCTCTCGACTTTTCCAGACAGGCCAGAAAAATATATAATCACAGCGCCCTTCCTGAAAAAGAGATCCGGGGTAACGTTAGTGCACAGTGGAACATCCTTAGCAGCCGTGCTCAGGAAGGACCAAAGTTGCAGCCTGGATGCTGAAGAGAGCCTTGACACAGCGTGGCCAGCAGGACCAGGGACGTCATCGTGCCCCTGTACTTGGCGCTGGTGAGGTCACACCTTGAGCCCTGTGTTCAGTTTTGGGTGCTGCAGGACCAAAAAGCCATCGAGGGGCTGGAGCGAGTCCAGAGAAGGGCAACGGAGCTGGGGAAGGGTCTGGAGATCAAGTGTGCTGGGGAGCAGCTGAGGGAGCTGGGGCTGTTCAGCTGGAGCAGAGGAGGCTGAGGGGAGACCCCATCGCTCTCTGCAGCTCCCTGGCAGGAGAGGGTGGTGAGGTGGGTGTTGCTCTCTTCTCCCAAGTAAAAGTGATATTATGAGAGGAAATAGGCTCAGGTTGCACCAGGGGAGGTTGGACATTAGGAAAAAATTCTGTACTGAAAGAGCGGTGAAGCTCTGGCACCGGCTGCGCAGGGCAGGGGGGGGGGCCCCATCCCTGGGGGTGTTCAGAACCGTGTAGATGTGGCACTTTGGGACTTTGGGTTTAGTGGTCGTGGTGGTGCTGGGTTGGCGGTTGGACTTGATGACCTCAGAGATCTTTTCCAACCTTAACAATTCCATGATTCTGTGACACCTGCCAGCGCAGCCCATTGCCACCGGCAAGCAGTGGAGCAGCCACGTGTGGGACCAGGGCTGCAGTACAGACAACACAGGGACACCTTCTAATGTTCTCAAGAACATTAGGCTGGGAGTTTGGAGGTTTGGTTTTCAGGTTTTTTTGCAAGACTGGCAGTTTGCTGGAAAGAGCTTCAGTAGAAACTCCATTCTGGCAAGAAAAATAAGAAAAATCTGTATGCAATTTGACTTCCCTCGAGTTACGCCAAGGATTAACTTGGCCTGTTAAGCTTACAACATAAAACAAGCATAAGAGCTAGGATTTAAAAATTCTACCATTTCTCTGCCATCCTGGACCTATGAAAACACCAAAATCACTAGTTTAAAGGAACACAGAGCTAGAGAAAGTTAAATCCATGCCTTTTCAGTAAACTTAGCTGATTCACAGCAAATATATGCCAGCTAGTAAACAACTTCCTGGTTGATATACAGCAGAGTCTAAAAGTGAGTTTAAATTCTGTTATATAAGAAGAAATATTTCACACTGAAAATCAATTTACAGACCAAGGACAAAATGACCCATAAAAAAAAAACAAACAACAAAAAGGGAATGTCCATAATGTGATGAATTCAAATTTTGTTTCAAACAGAAAACAACAAGGATTAAAATTCATTTTTCTTGACTTTGATTAGCCCACAGTTAAGCTGTAAAGCAGCGTCCATTTAAGAAGTCAGCATCTAAAGAGCCAACGTATTTGCTTTTTTAAGGTACCTGACATGCAGCTCAGCAGCGTTCTGGCACGTCACGACTTCCTGGGCCAAAACAAGAACAGCGTTCAAGGAAAGACGGTTGTTGCTCAGGCTGTGAAGAAGAAGAAGACGACCACCAGCTCAGCCACCGGAGCCAACACCACACTCTTCTCTTCTGCAAACACCCTCTGCTCTGCGCCCAAACACCTTGATTTGTTTTAGAGGATTCCTCCGAAAGTTCAGAATTTTGCATTTAGGACCCAGGAAAAGCACCGTCAGATCGTGGTTCTTCTCTGCAAGCTATAGCTCCCCCAAATTTAAAATCTGAAATAGTTCATCTAGGTGCAACAGAAAAATCATTAACCGTTTGGGGATTAGGAGGGAATGTACTTTATACCTGTTTGATTATGCAACAGTGCAGTTAAACTCTCGCTATAATAAATCCAATTTAAGTGTGGCATATGAAAGCAGTGTGGTCTAAACCCTCCTGTTTAAAACACCTCCAAAGACACCACGCTAGCAGCCTCGGAGGACTTATTCTTTAATTGCACATTTGTTCTCTTTCATTACTTGTTGAACCTCATTAGACAGGAAGTGTAAGGTCTTGCTTCTACAAACCCTCTGCTTCTCGGGGCCACAGAGCACCATCCCTTGCGAGCCTCAGAGGAATCATCCACGACACCACCACTGTACGTGTGCAACAGAAACACGTGAAGGAACGAGGCTTGCAAATTGCTCTGGCTTCCCACCTTTCCCTCATGATAAGCTGCTTCACTGGGAACAGGCGGGCAAAGCTTCCAAAGGCAGTAACGCTGCGAAGCAAGTAATTAATTCCTGGATGGGCTCCAGCAATAACTGCAGGGATTTGGGGTTCACCTGCTCGCACATGGGGGTGTGTGGAAGTTCTTCAAAGGCCAAGTCACTCCCTTTTCACCAGGCTAGGCAGGCAGTGCTGGGGCTCTGCCTTCCCGCAGGAGAAGCTTTATAGCTATCCCTCTCCTGTGATGCAAGACTCCGATGCTTTGCTGCAGCTCTGCCCTGCTCTGCTTTGCCTGCTGCTGCTTAAACTGCCCCTGCTGGCTTTTCAGAAGCTTTAAACCCCTTCACAAATGAGAATGGTTCTCTCCACCTAAAAAGAGGCAGATCCATCTTGGGGGTTTTCCTAAGTCAGTCCCTCTCACTCAGAGGGAGGAGCACAGGAGAAGAGGGCTAACAAAAAGGCTGGGAAGACAGGGATGGAGCCATCCTTTCTTACCCAGAGGTGAGGCATCTCCATCTGAGCCTGCCCAAGAAGAAGAAGAGGAAAAAGCGAGGCAGGCACCAAGTTAGGCACGTGCACTCTAAGTCCTGCAGAAGTGTCAGTCGTGCCAGGACTCCTCTGAGACTGTTTTAAAATCCCTGAGTAAGAACCGTGAGGCTGAGTCTATCATCTCGAATAGAGCCAGGCCTCCAGCACAGCCCTGCCTGCACTGAAACGTCTGTGCCTCAGCTTAGTGCCCCATACTACCCCCCGGGCATCTCTGAGAGTGTCACCCCTTACAGAGACATCCAGCAACTCCGGATTTAAACTCTGATGCTAGGCTTGGCTTCACAGTGGCTGCTGCTTTCAACAGGTTTAAGCCATTTCTACTCACTCTATTTTCTTCAGTTTTTCCATTCTGGAAAACAGGTCCATCACCCTCTTCACCTCCGGATCCTGGATCCGATTGTCCTGCAAGCTGCACACAGATTCGTCCTCGTTAGCACCCCAGGCCTCCCAGGAAGGAGCGGTTGATTCGAGGGTCATTGCCACAAGGCACTCACTTTATCTCCTCAAGCTGGGGGCACTGTGATGAAGCCTGGACTAAGTTAGTCATCCCCTTCGCTGTGATTCTCCCCCCTGTCAACCTGGAAAAAGAAAAGAATCACTCAAACCAAGCAGAGGGAGGACCACACCACACTCCCAGCATACTGATGCAGCGGGGAGGTCATCTGACTCTGCCACCTGCAACCAACTTTATATTCCTTTTCAAGTAATATTCTTCCTGACACCAGCACAGAACAAGAGTCACACACATCCATGCTGCTCTGCACGGCACCGTGTCACACTCTGCACAGCTTTGAGTGAGACAACGTACAGAAACGACAAGATAGAAATGGAAGACAGATAGAAAAAGAGAAGCTCTGAGTTTGCAAGCAAAGACTTACTCTAGTTTCCTCAGGCTCCTCATTCCTCGTAAGGTCTTTGAAAGAGCAGCAGCAAAGTCATCGTCACATCTCCTACTACGAAAACTAAAATGTGACCAAAAAAAAAAAAGTGTTGAATATCTTCATTAACAGCTATTGTACCACACTCTTTTTTTGCAGCACCTTTTCAAACATCTGTTTTTAAAAAGAGCAACGCTAAACCTGCACATCAGCTGCCAATACCTCAAAAGATGTCAGTGCTGCCACTGACAAAGAGGCAGCCCTATCATGTGTCCCTCCAGAGGGGCACCCCGGAGACCAGGGAGGTCCCACAGGGCCAAACAAACCTCAGGGAGAGAGCGTCTCCCAGCTCCTGGCTCACGAGCTGCTGAGTTATGAGAAGGTTGATTTTGGGCCAGATCTTCTAAAGCTGGGTGGCAGAGCAGCCAGAGCTGCCCACACCAGCAAACTCCACACATATTCCTCTGAGTCACTCACAGAAATATGGAACAAGATCTGTTCCACAACAGGATCCCAAAGAGATCCTCCGTGAAAGGTCCTTCCAGCTTTACGGGAAAGGACTGACCGAGATCACCTCAGAGTGCATTTGTCACCTCCTATTCATCCAGTTTATGGTGACTGCACTGAGATCATAACCTTCTTATTTGCTTGCCTTTGTATTGTCAAGAAAAGCCCATCACCTTCCCTCACATCTACTACACTAATGACCCTGTTGACTGTTTTCATCAAAGCAAATGTATCAAAAATAGAGCCAGACTGGATTTACCACCTTAATATCCTTCAATCATAGAATCATAGCATGGCCCAGGCTGGAAGGGACCTCAGAGATCATTTAATCCAGCCTCCCTGCCGCCAGGGACACCACCTCTCGACTAGATCAGGCAACACATTACTTCACAAATTTCTTCAGTAAAGTTACGCTGTTCGGTTCAGAGTTTCTCACATCGTCTTTCTCTTCCTTCTAAAACAAACACCAGGCTTGCCCTTCCAACCCTTCAGCCCTCCTCTCCAGGCGCCAGTTTGCAGCGCTCAGCGTTTACCTCAAGTGCTCTACATTTTTACAGCCAGCCAGCAGTTCCAAACAGCCCACATCCATGAGACATCCAGAAAAATCCAAATGAGTCAAATCTCTGCCCGAGTCTACGACGAAAACCAACGCCGACACGTCCAGAGGCGTCAGTCTAAAGTTTTTAAACTCGTATTTGAAATTTAGCAGGCTCCCGATGTGCTGGGCTAGTTTGAGGTCTTGCGTTTCAAACGTGCAATGGCAGAGCTCGATGACCTTAGGCCCTGTCAGATGAGTGGCCGCCAGTTTCTTGAGAGACTGCAGGATGGCGTCCTGCTTATCCCACACCCACGCTTCCTCTCGTTCAGCCAGCAGCATGAGAAACGGCCGACATTCTTTCGACGACAAGCCCGAGAGGATGATGTGAAAACTCTCCGTGAACTCAGTCTTTGTTTCATTCTTTAAAGGCCACTTGGACTTCAGAGAGAACTTTTTCTTCAGGTGGCTCTTGTCCACTCTCTCACTTACCATGAGACCCAGCGCCGCAAAAAACTCCTGCGTGCTCAAGTGCGCAAAGGCGTAGCCAGTCTCTGGGCAAGCGCCACTCGTCTTCACCCCAAAGACAGTCAGCAAGCCATGAAAGCAGGCAAATTCCTTCACGTGCTCTGGAATATCGCTGTCAGAAAATACAAGCTGCTTACCTTCCAGGCCTCTCAGGGCAAGATCACAAAGATCCAAAACAGCCTTCCTGTTACACCGCAGCCGAGTCTCCTCGCCACCCTCGCGCTCGCCCTGCTCTTCGCTGATGAAGATGAGAAGCATTTTGATATAAAGCTGCGTCATGGTCTGAGGCAGCTCCACGCTCGTCTGATGTTTGAGGAGCAAATACTCCAGACAGATGCACACCACGTAACACAGAGCAGGGACGAGGCACATGCTGAGGAGCTTGGTGTTGTTCTTCAGGTGAGCAATGGCTTGCTCTTTGAACGAGCGCTGGTGAAAATAGCGGCTGATGTATTCCTCAACCTTGTCATGGTCGAATCCCCAAATTTCTGCGAGCAGATCTACTGCATTCAGCAAGAAGTCAGGCAACTTCTTCGGTCGGCTGGTAACCAACACTGTGCAGCCCCGCAGGAGCTTCCCATGGCAGAGGTCTGCAAAGAGCTCAGATATGGGCACACGGGAAGTAAGAGCTGGGTTTCCCTTAGAAGAGGAAGACAGGTCCATGTGAGCTGCAAACTCATCCAGCCCATCAAAGACAATCAGAGTACGGCAGGCATTTTCCAGGAGGTACTGAAACACTGCTTCAGGGCTGTCCTCTGGCTGAAGGAACAGGTCAAACAAAAGCTCCTTCAGAGTCAGTTTTCTCTTTAATAAACTCAGCTGCCGGAACTCAAACAGGAAAACAAAGAAAAACTGAGGCAGGATGCCTTCTGCCCACTTGTGACAAATCCTGTGCATTAGTGTGGTCTTGCCTGTGCCTGCCTTGCCAAACAAAAAGACCACCTTCGTTTTGCCTGATGTGACCTCACCATGAAACAGATCTGACACTTTCATGGCAGTATCCACGCATTTTTCCGGTTTGGGAGCACCTGCCAAATCCGCTCGGGGCTTATGTGTCCTCTCTTTTAAGCGGGAGGCTTTGCTTCGCTGAATGACAAGGTTGACAAAGGCTTGGTTGAAAGCCAGCGGCCGCGTTTGTCCCTGCGCTGCTGCTCTCTGGCGTCCGTACCTCTGGCGGACAAAATCGATGAGGAGACACCGGTACTTTTCAGGTGAATCTGCGAGAGGACACAGAGACTTTGAGGGTGAAAGAGTTAGTTCTGAGCCGCAACAGATTCAAAATACTGTCACTTATCCAACAAGAAACAACAGCTGCTCTGCAGAGCTGACAAATTTTGAACCCATGGAAACATCCCATCATTCTTCCTATTTTGGACCAGGGGCTGAAGAAGGAAATTCAGGGAAAAGGTGAAACAGCTTCAGATAAAAACTAAATCTCATTACCTCTCCAAGAAGAGAATTAGGTATTGGTGTATTATGCATACAACTCCCTGTTCACTCACACTGGCCTTGGGCCATGCACCTCAGAATACACTGAGCATTTGCTTGGAGAATTTGAGACCCCTGAAGGTACCAGCATCTCTGTGTTGAACAGAGAGCAGCAGCGATGATTAAGGGCACTCAGCACCTTCGGAAAAAAAACTACCATAGAATCATTCAGGTTGGAAAAGACCCCTGGGATCATCGACTCCAACCACTAACCCTACTGTACACAGCTCTCCCCTGAACCATCTCCCCCAGCCCCACATCTCAACGACCTTTAAACGCACCCAGGGATGGGGACTCAACTCCCTGCCTGGGCAGCCTGGGCCAATCTCTGACCACTCTTGCTGTGAAAAATATTTTCCTCATGTCCAGTCTAACCCTGCCCTGTTGCAGTTTGAAGCCGTTCCCTCCTGTTCTGTCGCCAATTACCCGTGAGAAGAGCCCAGCCCCAACCTCTCTACAACATCCTTCAGGCAGTTGCAGAGAGCGATGAGGTCTCCCCTCAGCCTCCTCCTCTTCAAACTCAACAGCCCCAGCTCCTTCAACTGTTCTTCACCAGATTTATTCTCCAGGCCCTTCCCCAGCTCCATCACCCTCCTCTGCACTCGCTCCAGCCCCTCGAGATCTCTCTTGGATTGAGGGGCCCAAAATTGACACAACACTCAAGGAGTGGCCTCCCCAGTGCCAAGCACAGGGGGACAATCCCCTCCTTCCTCCTCCTGAAGTTTGCTGAGTTTATCCTCGCTAAAGTTTGCTGAGTTTTGTCAACAGACACAATCAGGTCTCCTGGGAGCAGCTCCTCAAGAACTGCCCCACATGCACACTTTCAGTCAAAAACTCGACCCAGCCCAGCTGCAGCCACTGGCTTTGCCATGCTCCATGTTCTCCCACCACACGTCGGGCAGCACTGCACTGTGGGGATTGCAAGGCTAAAAGCAGAAATAGAAAAGGGTAAAGAAGGGCTGGTGATGAAGGAAAGGAGGTGGATGCCGGTGTTAGACAGCTCCTGGGTCTGCTCAGACTCTCCTGCAATTACTCTGGCTCAACATCATCGTCACTCATCTATTCAGTCACTTCTCTACTTCAGAGTAAGCTGAAATCCTACAAATTTCTAATGCGCCGGAGAAACCGCGGAGCTTTTTGTGGGCTTTAAATTGTCAGTATGTCTCCTGATTTGGTTAAAAAAAAAGAGGAGACAAATACAAGGATGACCTACAACTGAATCACACTTTAAGGGGGTTCTTAACCTGAGCCATCTGCATCCCTTCTCTTCGGGATTTAATATTTCTCTGGAATGCAAATGAGTGTTTCTATTTGTTTGCCAGGTCCTGCTGTCTATATATTTTATAACCTGTTGCCTTAAGAGCTTACATGGCTACCAAATAAAAGTTTCCCCTCATGCAGGAGTTTTTTCTTGGGTGTTTCTGCAAAGAAGTTAAACAGACCCTTCCTCAGAGGAAAGCCCACCACTGCTCTGCTTCTGGAACGTCTACGTACCCAGGCGTCGCTGTTTCGCATCTTTATCACTCGCAGAGCCGCAGCGTTGGCGACGTCGAGCAAACCCTGAAAATTTAAAGGTCAGAAACATGTCAAAAAGGCATTTTGAATGGCAGCTTATTAAAGCCGGGCGAGACTCTCCAGCAAAGCACTTGGGGAGCTGAAGAGGTGAAATCGAAGAGACAAAACTATTTGCAGATTCAGGCTGAGATTACAGTTAAATGTTGAAGTAAAAGCAGAGGTACATCGAGCTACAGAGAGACTGGGCTGGTCTTTGTGAGGCTAATCCATCCTCTTGTCCCACCCCAGATAGGTTACAGCTCTCAGGAGTGACCGAGGCGTTTAAAGACCTTCAGTAGTGGAGCTCCCTGAACTTCTCCGGCCAATTTATTCCAACATTTCCACTTATTTATAGAAATCTTCCTAGTGGATAACACCAATTCTGCCTGCCCACAGCATGATCTGCTGCTTCCCTGTTCTATCCACTTCATCTTTTCTCTTCCCTGGGACTCACAGTAAGCGGCAAGGACTAAACACTTATCTAATACTGTAACGTGACTGTACACTCCATGGAGCTGTCACCGTCCAGATCTTACCACTCTTGGCCAACATCAGCTTGAATATCAGAAACAGGGAGGTTCTAGCTGCTGCTGGATGCCCGGCTTTGCAAATCTTTGCAGGAAACAACATGAATTTTAAAAGGCATGTTTCGCAGGAACCGTGTGAGGTTTAGCAAATGATGCTCAGATACTTTTACTCAATCCTCTCGCTTGCTTACAAGCACAGGGTTAAGCAGTGCCAGAACCTTTGTAAAAATTATCACAACAGCCCAACAAAAAGCATCCTAGGAAATGACCCCACGTGCAGCACAGCTGCTAGAAAGCACACTAAAAACATAGTTATGTGCAATTTGGGGTTTGGAGGAGCGTACAGAAGAGAGAGCTTTAAGGGCTACATACAGCCCAACCAAAGACTACACCAACAGCTCTGTGACAGAAATAAGCCAAACAGCAGCACCACATATCCCCGCGGCAAAGCCTGCAACCCAATTTCTCTGACCTGTTCTTCACCTCTCCTCAAGATTTAAGTCCGCCCAAAGCAGGATAAGCCTGTCTGATGGACCTGAGGGAAAGCAGGAGCAGGAAATATCGAAGAGTGGACACATCTCAGCTCCACAGACAGTTTCCTTGTGAGCAAAGCCAGCTGCCAGGTCAGCCCCCACAGGCTCAGCTGGCCAGGGAGCACCAGCTGCAAGAGCCCCTGCTGTGAAAAGCTGCCCTGCGTCTCCAAAACGGACCACAACCACCTCACCGGTAAGTCTTGTTGTAGGCTGGGTGATGCGTCTGCCTTGCTCTGAACACGGGAACTGCTCTGGTACCCTGGGGGACAGCGCAGGGAATAGCTGTTGTGGAGGAATACACAACCCCCAGATCCCTGGGGCTGCTTAGGGCGATTCATTCCCTGTTTGTTTATGGTGCACCCGCAGATGGAGAGGACAGGCTGAGCTGAGAGATGCAGGAGTCTTTCCTTTCTTAACCAGTGCCATTTTCAACACTATTTTCAAAATTCCATTCCACCAGCAACTGGCGACATCGACCACCTACTCCCTGGGGCAGCAGAGCCGCCGGCGGCAGCAGTCTGTCCGCAGAACACACAGGTCACTTCTGTTTCCAAGATCTGAAAACTGCACGGGACACCCCAGGAACTGCGTTTGCAGTGCCAGGACTCAGAAGCTGCCTTGGTGACCACACGAACGACTGGAACTGCAAAGGGTAGGTTGGGAGTTACGATTTCAAACGGGGAACACCAGAAGAGTTGGGGAAGGCAGGGAGCGCTCACGGCTCAGGGAGCAGCCTCTGTCAGGCCAGGAGCTGGGAACGCAAAGGGCAGATACACACACACAAGCCATAAGGCACTGGGGGAACTGGCAAACCTCAGCAAGAACTCTGCGAGAAGCTCCTGTTGCCATGAGCATGAGCCTTAGCCAGTCCCCACATTCACGTGGCAGGAAAAAATACCAACAAAGAGCAGCTTTTCCTTCAAACCATCTGTTTTCCACCACACAGGAAGGACCTGAGCTGGTGCCTTCTTTTCTGGAAGCAGCTGGTCACTGAGAAGGCAACTCAGCAGCTCGTGGTTATTCCAGCAGCTGTTACTCAAGGGCCCAGGGACATCACTCAGTGGTGGCACATACCTCCGGTAATTTCACATTGCACTTCTGATCGACACTCGAGTGGTGGATCCCGCTGCCAAGTGCCAGG